AGAAGCTGTGGGTTAGAGCCGTGCTTCAATCATGGCTATCGGCTTAGGCTCTGTCACCTTGCGGCGACTTTGCCTTGTAGTACTGGCTGCGTGTACCTGTGTGGTCCGTGGAAGCCCATCTGTCAATGTTGCTTTGCAAGCATCCTTCGATTCAGCACCGTATCTTCTAGAGCTATTGTAAGCAAGTTCAGCCATCCCATTCCGTACGGCGCTTATAGCTTGCTCATGATAAAATCAGAGAAACAGCTGCGGAGGAGAACTCAACGTCCTACTTCCCCCTACTCGGTCGTATAGCGGAGGGAACCTTTGACGACACCACCACTGAAAAGGAGCTCTATGACCGTTTCCTACAAGTCGTTCATGATGATGGACATCTCAGCACCCCTGAACTTTTGTCATCGTTCAAGCTGTCTCTAGCAATTCGATCGGCGGCCCCTCGAATCACGGCGCACTATCAGTTCTATAATGCGTCTGTCCAGCATTCTTTGATGGCGGCGCAGGATGCGGCATGTCCTGTATGGGTGCACTCGGAGGGTAAACAGTATTGCTCCTCCAGCATGGAGCGTGCCCAGCAGGACGTGATGGGAGAGTCGTAAGTTGCTATTGTTCTTGGCTGTGTGTTTACTGGTGTCTAACATACCATGGTGTGCAGAGATCCGCGAGAACTTCCCTTCGATCGAGTGCTAGGAGATATATCGCTTCCACCGGCCATTCTGTATGCGGATATTGCGTCTCCCATGTTCAGGGATTTCCATCATACCTTGACTGCGCTCGCCGAGGAAGGACAGGTCTCGTATCGTGTGCGCTACCGACCACCTCAGCATTGGATATCTCGTCCCCTATTTGTCTCTGGCTATGGCGTCGAACTTGCTCTTAAGCGGACGGATTATATTGTAATTGACGACCGTGATGCTGAGAAAAAGAGTCAAAAGAATTCGGGGACTACTGAGTCGGCCAGTCTGGAGGAAGAATCGCCTGATGACCTGAGACCTCTGTCTTCCTCAGAAGTGGCCCGTCTCGGTCTGAACACGGTCAGCTATGTGATGGACAGTGAGGAGCCCTTGGATACGCTTGTGAGGATTTCTCAAGACTTTCCCAAGCACTCCGCCAAAATCGCGGCCTACAATGCATCAGCCGCTCTGCTGAAAGATATCCGTACTAGCCGGCTTGGAATGCTTCCTTCAGGCGTCAATGTCATGTGGATCAATGGCGTTCAGATTGATCCCCGTCAGATAGATGCATTCTCACTTTTGGATCACCTCCGTCGCGAAAGAAGACTAATCGAGAAATTTCGGAGCGTTGGACTTTCTGCTCAGGAAGCCGTCGACTTGCTCTGCCATCAGACCCTCGGAGAGACACTGGCGAAGGATTCCCCTCCGCGTTACAATTACCGGGACGAGATTGAGGGCGGCGGCGTGATCATCTGGATGAACGACCTGGAAAAGGATACAAAATACCAATCATGGCCCGACGACCTCTCGGCAGTAAGCTTTCACCTTCAGTTCTGTGTTTGAATGGCGTACTTATCGTGAGCAGTACCTTCAACCCATGTACCCAGGCCAACTCCCCGCTGTGAGGCGCGATGCGCATAATATTGTCGCTCCTGTGGATCTCACTAGCTCTGATGACATGGAGTTGGTCGTCAAGACTCTTCAGGTGTTTGTCAAGAAGAAGATCCCAGTACGATTTGGTTTGGTCCCTCTTGCTTCGTCTCCGGGATCCGTCGCACAACTCAAAGTCGCTCATTATCTCCATGAGACCTTTGGTCTGGCCAGCCTGATCCAGTACTTGGAAGAGGTATGTCGTACCAGGTGTTATGTGGTCTTTGGTGTGCTAATGATTTGAATAGTCTGCAGCCAAGAAGAAGATAGGGTCTCCGGACAAGGTCTCCTTCCAACGCGCCACTAAGGATCGAAGTTCGCGCCCCAATAAGCAAGTTTTATCGTTCGACGAGCTCTTGAAGAGCGATGAGCTCGAGGGCCTAGTTTCCCGGACCATGCAATACCAGAACCGACTTGGAATCAAGGCCGACGCACCGTATATCTTGGTGAATGGAGTCTTTGTTCCCCGAGACGACAACTGGCCTCAGGAAATGAGTATGAGGGTTGGTCGAGACTTGCAAACCATACAACAGGCAGTCATGGATGGGTCTATTGAGGAAGACACATGGCTTCCCAAACTTTTCCTCTCGCAAGCATTTGATCGCCGCAACCCTTTGATAATCCCCGAGGATTCAAAGGATATCCGAATCGTGGACATCTCGAAACTAGCAGAGTCTAGGGGAGAGTTCGCTGATGCCCTTCGCATTGCATCTGAAACGGAGGATATACTCGATAGTAAGCATTTAATCGTTGTTGGGGACTTCGACTCCGAGAACGGCCTGAAGTTACTTGTTGAGGCTCTTGAACACCAGGAGACACACGGCGAAGTGGAAATGGTTTTGATTCATAACCCCGTTCCTGATGTGGAGACGGAAAGCGGATCTACCCTGGTCTATAATTCATTGAAGGGGACAGACAGAGTGCATGCTTCCCGGGCTCTAACCGATCTGAAGACTGCGAAAATCGGTACGTTTTCTGAAGCAGACGCTAAGAAGATGTCCCAATTCTGGGAGGCGCAGCAGACCTTGGCTAGAGGCCTTGGGTTTTTGCCTGGAACGAATGGTGTCGTTGTCAACGGCAGAGCGATTGGGCCTCTCCCGGATGGATCGACGCTATTGAAAGAAGATCTGGACCAACTTCTGGCCTACGAACAGGCGAGGAGAATATGTCCTGTTGCAAAGGCTGCAAAGGATCTCGGTTTGGAGTCGAAGCTCTCCGGCCCTCTTGCGCTTGCCAAACTTACTTCTCTTGCAGCTCTTTCGACCGTGTCTGACGTCCCTGAGGGGATCTTTGAACAGATGTCGAACATCAGAATGGATTTGTTCAAGAAATGGAGCGATTTGCGGTCTGTGATCACTGTCTCGACTTCTGAAGATCCAGCTATCACCATCGTTGCTTCTATCGATCCTACCTCGGAAACAGCACAGAGATGGCTGCCAATCTTGGAGGTCCTCTCAGAATTGGCCAGTGTCCGGGTCAGGTTGTCCTTGAACCCGCGTGAAGAGATCCAGGAGCTACCAACGAAACGATTCTATCGCTATGTCTTAGACTCGGAACCATCGTTCAACGATGATGGAACTCTTGCAAGGCCCACAGCCACCTTTTCTGGCGTGCCGGTGGAGGCACTTCTCACCCTGGGCATGGACGTCCCATCCCCCTGGCTCGTTGCTCCCAAGGAATCGATCTACGACCTGGACAACATCAAATTGAGCTCATTGAAACCAGGTGCCAATGTTGACGCCATCTACGCACTGGAACACATCTTGATTGAAGGACATTCGCGTGATGTCACGGTCAAGACTCCCCCGAGGGGAGTTCAACTACTTCTTGGCACTGAAGACAATCCTCACTTCGCTGATACTATCATCATGGCGAATCTGGGTTATTTCCAGTTCAAAGCTCAGCCGGGATTGTGGAAGATCAATCTTAAGCCTGGCCGCAGTCAGCGCATTTTCAATATTGACAGCGTCGGCGGCCAGGGGTACAGTCCGCAACCGGATGATGAGAACAACGAGGTTGCACTTCTTTCATTCCAAGGGAAGACTCTATTCCCTCGCCTTTCGCGGAAGAAGGGCCAGGAGATGGAAGATGTCCTAGATACAGGTGTCAAATCAGGCTCAGCGATGGACTACGTATCTAAGGCCTTCAACTTTGCTCAGGGTGTACTGTCAAGCGTAGGTGTCGGTCCCAAAGATGGTCTGGCTGAGAAGCAGGCGGACATCAACATATTCTCTGTGGCAAGCGGTCACCTGTACGAGCGAATGCTGAACATTATGATGGTCTCCGTGATGCGAAACACGAAGCATTCCGTCAAATTCTGGTTTATCGAACAATTCCTCTCGCCTTCATTCAAATCTTTCCTTCCCCATCTGGCGAAAGAATATGGCTTTTCGTACGAAATGGTTACATACAAATGGCCACACTGGCTTCGAGCGCAACGGGAGAAACAACGAGAGATCTGGGGATACAAGATCCTCTTCTTGGACGTCCTTTTCCCGCTTTCCTTAGACAAGGTCATCTTCGTGGATGCCGATCAAATCGTCCGCACGGATATGTTCGACCTCGTCTCTCTAGATCTCGAGGGCGCGCCATACGGCTTCACACCCATGTGCGATTCCCGCGAGGAGATGGAAGGCTTCCGCTTCTGGAAGCAAGGATACTGGAAGAACTTTCTCCGCGGTCTCCCCTATCACATCTCGGCGCTGTACGTAGTAGATCTAAACCGCTTCCGGGCCCTTGCGGCCGGCGATCGTCTTCGCGGACAGTACCAGATGCTCTCAGCCGATCCAAACAGTCTGAGTAATCTCGACCAAGACCTACCGAATCATATGCAGCATCACATCCCGATCAAGAGCCTTCCCCAGGAGTGGCTGTGGTGTGAGACCTGGTGCTCGGACGAGTCGCTCAGCACGGCCAGAACGATTGATCTGTGTAATAACCCGCAAACAAAGGAGCCCAAACTGGACAGGGCCCGCAGACAGGTTCCTGAATGGACGAAATATGATGATGAAATTGCGGCATTGGCGGAAAGAGTCGCCTTAGAGCAACATCGAGAACAACAGGAAGAGATGGAGTCTGCAGACCAAGACGAGGAGTCTGGTTGGGAAAAGGATGAGCTCTAGTATATAGCATCTAGCTTCTTATCAGGAATTACCTCAGTGTAAATGAGGGCTGCAGCTCCCGCCTTTTGGGCCTTGATCACCGTCAGAAGAGAATGACGAATTGGGGACATTCCAGATTACATTTTGCTCCATCTATCCAGTATATATTAGGCGGCGAACCGAGATCTTCTAGTTTATTGTACAATACACCGAATCAGCGTACATCCAAGTTCTTATCACAAACAAAATCATCATCACTCATAAGTCAGTCAATCGTCTACACCATATTTGTATCCCATCACTTGGACTTTTTCGCCTTTGACACTGGAGTCGATCCCGGTTTGCCCTTTTTCTTTTCTCCGTCTTTCTTGACCTGAGGAAGGGTGGGTTTGACTTGTTTCAACTTCTGCTTCGGTCCGCTTTGCCCATTCTTGGCATTGCTTCCTTCCTTTGATATTGCTGGAGTGCCTGACTTTGAGAGTTCAAATTCTTGCCCATTAACAGCTTTCGGTACTTTTGGCCGAGCAGTAGGCTGCTTGGACTTGGACTTGGATTTGGGCTGAGGCTGGGGCTGGGGCTTAGACGTGGAGTCTGAACTGTCTGACGCCGAGACTGACTCGTCGGTATCGGCTTCTGAATCGCTGTCAAGACTGCTAGCGCGGCTGTCGGACTCACCCTCGCTTTCGCTATCTTCTGACGAGGATCTATCGGAGGAGGATGGCGAAGATGACTTCTTGCTTGGTTTCTGACCTGTTTTCAGACGCTTCGACTCAGTTTTCCCGGTCTGCTGCGCCGGTTCCTGAGCTTTGCGTTTGGTGCCCTTGAGGGCAGCTGCCTTCGGCGACTTCACCGGCTTGTCGTCACTAGGGCTAGAGATAGAGTCACTGTCGCTGCCGCTGTCATCGTCGGATTCACTAGCTTCGGTGCTGTTATCACTGGAGGACGTTTCATCTGAAGTTGAGGAGTTTTCTTCGGAGTCATCGTCATTTTGAGTCTTTTGAGAGACCTGCTCCTTCACGCTTGCTTTTCCAATCGACGTTGGTGCTTTCGGCGCTACTTTTGTGGGCTGTCTGTTCGAAGGTTCTTCGGAGCTTGATGTAGATTCGGCTTCTGATTCAGCTTCAGAGTCGGAAGAAGAATCGGATCCGGACTCGGAATCTGACTCAGACTCGAAGGACGTCTCTTGCAGCACTTCCTCTTCCTCAGTGGTTGAATGTGATGGCTTTGAAGCTTTAGCCCGTGAAATTGCGTTTGTTTCAGCCTTGGCCGACGAGTCAGATGCAGACGTCTTCGTAGCTTGACCTTTGGGTTGTTGATCGTCACTTGTTTTGGGTTTGGAGCGGTCAACGAGCTTCTGGTTCGGTGTGGGTTTTGTAGGCTTTGACGAAGTCTTTGCGGAAGGTGCTTTGTTATTTCTTATACCTTTCTCCTGCCCATTTGGAGGTTGTGCAATCGTCTTGGCGTCGACTTTTGCGTCGCTTTCATCACTGGATTCGAAGTCCGAGTCAGAGCCAGATCCAGAACGTGGCTTGGTTTCGGCTTCAGAAGCATCGTCCGAGGTAGACTCAGCCGAGTCAGGCTCCGATTCTTCGGACTCAGAGTCGTCAATTTCGGTCTGTGACTCGTTTGATTGAGAACCTTTATTGAGTGCCTTCGCCGAGGTAGCCGGTGGCTTTTCTGGAGCAGACATGATGGTGGGCTTCTTTTCGGCAGACTCACCCTCATCCTTGATCTTAGTAATCTGTTTTGGAGGCTTCTTCGGCGATTGAGACTCTGTACCAGCGGATTGTTCCATGTCTTCTTCTTCTCCATCCTCCGAATCAACGTATTCGGAGCTCTTATACATCCTCTCCATTTCCATCTGCTCCGCGAGCGTGATGGACTTCGCTCTGCCTTGCGGCTTTGCTTCCGTTGCTGGGTCGTAGACAGCGTTTTGATTTCCAGTGCTACGCTGTCCCATAACCTTGCGTCTGATCTTGCGCCATTTATCCGCGCACTGTTGTCTTGAACGGCAGTTCTGAAGTTTATTACTGACTTGGCCCCACGATACCAAGCCCTCATCCATTTCGTAAATGTCTCGGCCCACATCTTGGCCGTCCTTTTTTAGATTGTTCCAGGAAGCTTGTAGAGCATTGAGCAGCCCGCGGGCTTCCTCTTCGGACCACGCACCCCTTCTCATGGTGCTCCGGTGCTCAAGCCGGTTCTTCCACCTCTGAACCACATCATCCTCAACTCGACCCAGTATCTTGGCAATATGAGCGAATTTAGGACCATACCGTCCTACCAGGTCGATGAGTTCGTCATCTTGTTCATGTGTCCAGTGGTGCGGCTTCTGAGACGAATCCTGGAAATGTCGCCTCATGAATCGGTAGACCGATCTTCGATCCCTGCCTGGTAATACATCGTAAATTTGTTGCCAGAAATCCGGCTTCTTAATGATGCTCTCATCACAAGGCCAGCCGCTGTCTTTGCGCCGGTCCACATGCTGTACCATCCTATCAAATCTTTCACTGGAGATACCATGCTCGTTACAAAACTCGAGTTTGAAGGTCTCCAGCGCGCTGACCTCGGATGCAGCAAAGAAGCCAATCATCTTATCTTTCTTTCCTTTTCGAGGACCCCGAGCGGCTGATGTGTCCGTTGAATCCTTCTGGTCCGTTGAGCTATCCGCAAGTGATGGATTCGCAGATGCCATCGAAATCGTCTTAGTCTCGACAGGGCTCTGCGGAAGGGTTGACACCTCTTTCCCTTCCTCCTGCTGTGTGGTCCTCGCCTTGAAGTTCTTGGGCTTTTTGGACGAGGTTCCGTTCGTATGCGCTACATCCGTTAGAGGTTGCACATCCATCGACTGGAGGTTGAATTTCCCGGCCTCGGAATTGTTGGCAATCACCGTGGCTTCTGGAGACGGAATGGCTTCTCGGGTGTCATTCTTTTCCGGCTTGCGGGCCTCCTTTGTGTTTGCGGTCGACGGGGCGACCTTCGTGCGCTTCATCGGGCGAGGGTCTGCCTGGTTTAGAGGCGATACTTGCGACTGGTTTGGGGTGTCCGAAGGCATGCCATTGTTGGTATTGTTGACAGTCTGCTTTCTTTTCCGCTTGGGAGCAGGTGTTCCCTCGACCTGAAGTTCTGATTTCACTTTCTTAGAGATTTTCGGAGAACTCGAGGAACTGTAACCAACGGCATCGCGGCCTTCACTCGAAGGTCGCAAATCAGTTCAGGCTCAAAGTACAGTGCAGCAATGTTTTGAAAAGTAGTAAACAGTTTTCGCAGAAAGCACTTTGAGCAAAGCTTACCTTGGCTCTCAGGCTCACTGAGCCCGCCATTCATGGGCTGCGAGGACCCTTGACCCATTTGGACAAATTAAAAGGGGAAATGCATGAATCTGAACCAGTGAAGAAAGGTGTCTGGGAAGGAAAAAAAAGGGTGTGCGAGTCTGGAGCTCCGCCAGATAAGATAGTGGAAAAATTCCTGAAGCTGCGCGAGCGGCGCGACTTTTTGCGGATCCTCTCCGCCCTAAGCGTCCACCGGGTGATATCTAGGATGCATTACAACAACTCTGAGCAGATCGTGATTTCGACAATAATGTTTGGCGGCCATGAAAGTAGAATCTCTGTCTTGGCAGTCTATTTCGCAATAATGGACCCAAAGAAGGGAGTAAAATGTAAGAATACAGGACAACCGTTTGGGTATACAAAGAGCTACTCGGTGTATCAGATGCAACGTCAAGACTCGATCTTCATTTCTCGTAGAACCCTCGTCACAAGTTTTCTCTGATCCGTTTGGCTCAGATCATGCTCGTCAATCGTGTTGAGACAGCGTCCTATTGCCACTGTCGCTTTAACAGCAGCATCCCCTCCATTCGAGCAGTCAACCCAGACCTTGCCGTTTCTCCCCACAGCTATCTCAAAGCCTCCGACTTTCTCCAACTTCTTGCCGAGTTCTTCCAAGACCACCAATCCATCCACACCATCCTCTTGCTCGGAGGTCGACGAGCTAGCTCTCATTAATCTCGCAGCCATGCCGGTAGAGACGTCAAACACCATTCCTCCGGTCAATGGACCTAACCCCCCAGGCTCAGCCTTGCCGGTTGCTGGGTTCACGCAGGTAAGCTCAACTTCTGCACCAGCACCGAGACCGATGGACAGAACTCGAGCATAGACCAAATCACCTTGCCTCAACATTGGCCTTGTCTTCTTCGTCGCACCTTCGAAAGCAAGCTGGCCGAGCAGCGCGTGAGGTGATTGAGGTGTTATCATGCAGTAGAAGTATTCCGCACTGGAATGATGAACTTGTGCGATCACTAAATCGTTGGGCGTTGGGATGTAGCGGCGATTAGGAAACGACAGGACGGAAACAGCATTTTTTTTATGATCTGTAGAGAGTAGACCGGCCTGTGTAGAAGCAATAACATGACCAGATGACGAAGAGCTAGACCCTGGTACTATAGGGTTTGCTGGAGAAAGTAGTCGAAGACCAGGTCCTAGTCTCAGAGGACCAGATTTGTTTGAGGGCAGCTGATCTGACGGGACATGATCACCAGGGAGCAAGATGACAGGCGACGACATTTTCTCAAAACGTACTGATTGATGATCGTTTGTCTGCTACCGACTGAACGCGGGATCAATATAGTTGGCTGGCAGCGAGATGTGACCTGAACTGGAACATGAAATTCATGCGAAAGAATCGCGCTCTTATCAGCTTATCCGCACGTGATGCCGCAGCCCTGCAGAGTAAAATGAGCCCTAAGACTAAATCGAAGTCATTGAGATAAGTAGTATATTGTCAATAGGATACCTAGCAATCTAAACGGTATCTGAGCATGTTTGGATGATTGAAGACAACGGGATCTCTCAGGTTGACCAAGTAGAAACTTACTCCTCGCTGTATTAATGCCTCTGTCGGTGTTTTGGCTGCACCGCCACATCTAGTATCGATAAGCACCAGCCACAGTTGCCGCCCGCTGTCAAACAAGTCAAAAGATTTTTTTTCTCTTCTGTTCGGAGGAAGAAGAAATCGAAAAACAAGCAGAGCAGAGTCAATTCCGGGTTTGACTCCGTCTTCTCACGCACCCCTCTGGCATCTTCACTCTTTTCCCGTCCCAAATCATCTACCTCAGACCTTCTCTTTCATATATCTAAATATGGGTGATTCGAACGGTGTCGCCGCTGAAACAGCGGAGAGATTCGCTATCGGTATCTCGTTTGGTAACTCCTCGAGTTCCATTGCTCGCCTCACTCCTGTAAGTTTCCACCGGTTCATCATCCGGTTTCAAAGCATGAAGACTGGGATTATTCTAACGGTCTGATTTACAGGAAGGCAAGGCTGAAGTCATCGCCAACGAGGAAGGAGGTACGTTGATCACAGCCCCGCATGATCGCTTCTCCGGAGGATATACATCTATGAAGCAGAAGCTTACCATGTTCTGACTTTTAGACCGTCAAATCCCTACTGTTCTGTCCTACATTGATGCTGAAGAGTACCACGGCACCCAAGCCAAGGCTCAGCTTGTCCGCAATCCCCAGAACACTGTTGCATACTTCAGAGACTATGTTGGCAAGAAGTAATTGGCCCTGAACTAGGACTTCGCTATTCGAAGAACAAACGTGCTGATTTTGCGTGACACAGTTTCAAGTCGATAGATGCTACTCCCTGCCACCAGTCAGCGCACCCTCAGCAGGTCGACTCCACTGTTGCCTTCACCATCCGGGATACCGCCAGCGAGACCCCCAACACAGTCACTGTTTCTGAGATCACAACTCGCCATCTCCGCCGTTTGAAGCAATCCGCCTCCGACTACCTCGGTAAGGACGTCAATGCTGCCGTCATCACCGTCCCCACCGACTTCACCGATGCTCAGCGCGAAGCCCTTACCGCTGCCGCTGGCGCTGCTGGCCTCGAGGTTCTCCAGCTCATCCACGAGCCGGTTGCCGCCGTCCTGGCTTACGATGCCAGACCCGAGGCTGTGGTTTCTGACAAGCTTGTTGTGGTCGCTGACCTTGGTGGTATCCGTTCCGATGCCGCTGTGATTGCTTGCCGCGGTGGCATGTACACTATCCTCGCAACCGCCCACGATTACGAACTCGGAGGAGCAACCTTGGATCAGATTATCATCGATCACTTTGCCAAGGAGTTCATCAAGAAGCACAAGACCGACCCTCGCGAAAACGCTCGCGGCCTCGCCAAGTTGAAGCTGGAAGGCGAAGCCACAAGAAAGGCCTTGAGTCTGGGTACCAATGCTAGCTTGAGCATTGAGAGTCTTGCGGACGGTATTGATTTCAGCTCAACCATCAACCGGACACGGTACGAGCTGCTTTCGGGCAAGGTCTTTGCTCAGTTCACTCGCCTGATTGAGCAGGTTGTCCAGAAGGCGGAGTTGGATGTCCTGGATATCGACGAGGTCAGTGGTTTCAGGTATACTTCCTTACAATCATATTCCTTGACTAACCGTTTCCTAAGGTCATCTTCTCCGGTGGTACATCGCACACCCCCAAGATTGCTCAGCTGGTCCGCAACATGTTCCCCGAGAAGACGCAGATCCTCGCCCCCTCGACCTCTGCCAGCGCTATCAACCCCTCCGAGTTGGCTCCTCGTGGTGCTGCCATCCAGGCCTCTTTGATCCAGGAATTCGACAAGGAAGATATTGAGCAGAGCATCCATCCCATGGTTACTGCCACTCCTCATCTGCACCACGCCATTGGTGTTGAATTCGTGTCCGGAGAGACTGTTGAGTTCAAGCCTCTTCTGAATGCTGAGACCGCCCTGCCTGCTCGCCGCATCGCTCAGTACTCCGCCCCTAAGGATGGTGGTGATGTTCTTGTTCGTGTCTGCGAGGGTGTCCGCGAGATCAAGGTCACCAAGCCCGAGCCAAAGCCCAAGGAGGCCAAGGCCGAGGATGACGAAGACGAAGACTCCGACTTTGACTCGGACGAGGATGAAGAGGAGGAAATCCGTGAGATTGTATGGAAGACCGAGAAACCCATTGCCGAACTTGCTGTCAAAGGTGTCAAGGCTGGCAGCAAGGTCGAGCTGATGGTTCACGTCAACGCTGATCTGGGCATGCAGATCACGGCTCGGGAAGTCGGTGGTCAGAGTGCTGTCCGTGGCGCCGTCGAGTCGCCCAAGGCGTAAGCAGTGATTCGAGTCTCCGTATTTCCCTTTAAGAAAAACTATTCACCGTCTTGAAACAGGCAACGTCATGGGTAATGTCCTACTTTATATGAGTTCATAGAGTATCTAGATGTGTTCAATTTCACTTTTGGCATTTTCTATAATTTCATCTTGCTCTTCGCTGGATCTGAATAATGTCTGGGTGACTGCTATGTAGAAAAATTTATCGGTTGGATTAAATGGTATACTTTTGTCATGTTATTATCCGGAGACAGTGTGGGTGACAATTGTTGGAACAGAGGTATTATATTACAATTACTAAACGGATAAGATAATAGTCGAAACATCGTCAGGACATGGACATGCGTCAAACAAACAGTAAGCATACAGCTTCAGCGTAACAGGGGGCAATTGAGGGATTAGAGAGCCATAGAGATCAAACATGTACCCAATTCATAAACACGTAAAATGAGCGTAAGAGGGGGATCGACAGATAACTCATTCCTTCGAGGTGTCGTCTGGTGCGAGCCCAGAGATTCCAGGAAGGCTTAGTGAACGACAATGGAAATAATCCCATATCCATTTTATTGAAGTTTCCGTGCAGCAATAGCCTTGAGTTCAAGAGAATGGATTACGATCCTAAGACCTAGGACACGCTGACACTTGCTCGTCTCAGGCAAAAAGAGGCGAAACAAGATTTACGGAGCGGTCTCCTTGTTGCTTCTCAGGCTTCCCGCTCTGCGAGAAGAGAAGAAACCACGACGTCTCTGTTCCCGTCCGCTGTATCCGCCGTCCTTTCGGCCGACGGCGCCTCCCATGCAGTAGATCACGCAGGAGAGGAAGAGGCAAGCGACAGCAGTCCACATGAAGGCGAAAGCCTTAACCCCCAGATGAGATGATTGGCCGTTGTGATTGAATTTATTGCGACCCTGGACGTAGACAGCGCTATTCGAGTTGTTAGTTACATCGGAATCTATACTCTAGCAAACACTGAGAGATGAACTTACGTCATCAGGCAAGTGGTGATGGTCTGGAAAGTCAACGCAATGTACGCTGTCAATGCGGAGACGAAACTTCCAATGCGGGTGCACATGGCAAGGAAACCCGTGAAGAGCGAGCAGGTTGCGAAGAATAAGGCGATGATGTGGAATGGGAACATGAAGCGGGAGGTCAAGAAGTAATGATTGGTCCTATGCAGTGTTAGTTGCTGTCACGCAAGGCGTCTGAACATTCGTGTCAAGGACATGCTGCTACTCACCCAATGAAAGCTGAAGGGACGTTGACAGTGGTATTAAAGTTCCGGTGGCTTGGGGGATCAAATGGGTAGTCAGGGTACGACGTTCCGCACTCATTGTGTCCCTTGCTGTTCACTGCACACACCTGCCAATATGTCCATCGGGACAAGGCCGGTGCGCCGGGAATGTTGCCCGTGTCAGCTTCAAGCCAGTAAATCCTATCCAGAGGGTTTGAGTTCCTTGCTCCTCCGAGAAAAGCGAGGAACATCAACAGAAGAGCTCCGGCCGTGAAGAAAAGGCCTAGGAAGCCTAGACTCGCTCCTGTCGCAGCGTGTTAGACGAGACTTTCTAGCAGACGGTTGACGATCAGAGCGCTACTTACTGCTCAAGATCATCTTACTATATCTAACTCGGCCTGGAGCTCGTGCCGGCTTGAAGGACGTGTTATTTCGACTCGATAAAGTAGAGAAAATGTCGTTAAAAGATTAAAGATTAAGGAATCCTAATACAAAAGGTCCGAGGATATTATGTAGACGGTCAGGGAAAGAGTCGTGAAAAAATTTCGAACGTAGGCTGCGGAACATGCAACCTGGGCATCCGCTATTATATCAATGATCCGGTGATCCCGGTGCCCCTGCGGGAAAGGGCAGAATCATTGGAGTAGTGATATAATAATGAGGATGCATCATCACCTCTCCCGTCTTCATCGAAAGTTAATTGCTCGTTGTGTGGCACAAGCATCATTCGCTGATTCTTGCTTTCTCCGCTGTACAGAAGAGCAAAAGCGATGATCTCGACGTCATCGTTGCACCAAACCCCACTAGCCTTTTCCAGCTAGTGGCTACCTTAATGACTGGCGCTAGTCTTAACAAGGCTTAGCTCACATCACATCCATGACGTTGTCGAACTCACTCCCAACTGCAACTGTCCCCATTTCTCCTTCTTGGCTTATCTTCCCCTCGGCCCAGCGGCTCTGACGTTGCACCATCCATGGTGATCGATCGGGTTGCAAACTGGCTCCAGCTATGAGCCTATGAGACTATGACCTTTTGCTTGACTGGATTGACGTGAATTGGATCTAGTCTTTTCGAAATTTTTCTGCCTGTTCCCCCCACCACTGTGGACCTGGCTGTGCCTTCCTACCTTTCCCACTCCGTACCTCAGCCCAATAGGTGCTACTATCCACTGCAGCTTGGGTACTAGTAGTTCTGGTGTCTATGTCACTAGACATCGAGCACAATCTGATGAGTTCTCTTATTGCCACCGAGCTTGGGGTGAAACCGAACACCTACGACAATTAGCTTGATTGGGTTACTTGTGAATATTCGTGATGGCAACTTGGGCATACCCACCTTTACCTCCAGATTCGTTGGAACGGGAAGCGGCCAGTGCTTTGGTACGCATCCCATGTTTCCTTTGTGCGTAGATTATTACTCATCACCAAACATTGGTCTAGGCACGGGAACTAGAATGGCTGCTTCGATCCCTACAGGACTCTCTAGCGGCATTGAGGGATGGCCTTCGTGAGTGCGCTGCATTGCTGGCTCCGAAGGAGCCTGGCTCGACGCTGGTGCTGTCCTCCCTCCGGTCAGAGAGCGTCAAAGGCTTCGTGACCAGAGTTGGAACCAAAATCGTGAAGGGGGTATGCTTCTGCGCCACCCTTCCTTGCATCGTCAAACATGCTTTCTGCTGCCAAGTACTTGCGATGTGGCTGCTAACGTGATGGCGACGTGATAGGACATACAACTGCGCCTTAGCTCCCTTGCATCTGCTCGTGGCACTCCCACTACCCGTCTATGCTTATCCAACACTCCTGGCGCTCCAGAGCTCGTCCTTAAACAATTGTCGTCCGTGCGAGATCTCATCAATCAGAGCCTCGATGTCGTAGATGTAAGCACATGGACCGGTGACCCACTGGATGCCAGTTTCATCTTCGGTCAACTGCATCTTTTGCATGAAACTATTACGGAGGCGCGGCACATGCTGAAAGGGGAGAGCGATGATGTGCAAGGCAAGTGGTGGGAAACCAGTGCGGAGGAGGATGTGAGTTCACACGAGTTTACAAGCGCCTGGTAGTGATTTTGGTGCTGATGGACTACAAGATGTTCGACCCTCCACTGCCGCCATACCTCTCATTCCACCTCTCCATTGCGGACTCAGCTCTTGTGCTCTATCTGAGAACACTTGACACCACTGCGCCTTCTTCTCATGCGCCGACAGCCTTTGCTACCGATATCTCGCTTACTGGGTTCAACATTCGAGACCGATTGTTCGGGCCACGGCATCGCCCTCATGACGAGATGGGCGATATCTTCGTCTGGAAAGGAGAGGAGGTGAAAGTAAAAGAGAAGATTCGTGTTGAGAGCCAGGATCCTAGTCTGATGGCGGTCATGGCAAAACTGACGGCTCTTGAGCACGAAGTCATGAAATGGTTGTCCTCTCTGAAAGTGCTAATGGGCACTGAGGACACAGACAGCGATTCATGATATCCACAGCCACTTCAAAAACAGAATACAATAACATCTTTTGAATGAAGAAATGCCGGTCCTTCCTCGCGGCTGTTTGGACAAACTGCCATTCTGATAAATATATTATGTAATCATTGAAATTCTTAGCAGCCAATGAGAGCTGTGGAATCCGATAGGAACACTGCGTCTTGGCGAAAGTTTTCCCATGTAAAGCTCCTCGAGTGGCGTTATAGTTTCTTTCCTCACATTGCTCACCAGATTTTTGGTTCGGTGCGCTTGGGAGAAGGACTTAGGATGCTATCAAGGTCGCCAGCATCGAGGGCACGTCGATCATGTTCGCATGATCTTCTGCGCACAGTCGTCTACAATTCGCCGCGGACAGCATCGCAGCAGCTCCGCAGCGGAGCTGCAAACTGCATCGCTCAACGCCCGAAAAGCACTTTGTCGCGCAGGACACTACCCTCTACCTCACATGCGATATTATCCAGAAGTACCTCCAGCAACTGTACCCAGCAATGGCAGATCGTGCGAAGACATGTTTCGAGCAAGACGCCCTCAGATATGCATCCTTATGGGGACCGAAAAGATACCGTTTACGCTCTGATCGATAAGATCAACGAAACTGAGCTGGAGCTTGCGGAGCTCATGAATGATTTGGGATTGTTGGAAGAGTATCAAGGAGTTTTGAATCTTGAAGGCCCTGAACTCGACCATGTATTCAGCCAGACCATCGGTCATCGAAACGAACAAGCTTTGGAATCACGTGTGCGAACTGCGAGGCAAGAATTCGGCGAGTATCTTCCAGCAGGCTATTTGAACGAAACCGAACTTCGGTTGTATACACGCCTATACGGCGAGCCGATAATCAAGGTGGACGAGCCACAATCGGAGTTGGAGGCTGACTTGAGCGAGGAGGATAAAGATTCCGATCGCTTGTTCCGGGAGGATGGCCAGGGAGGCTGGAAAGAAGTCGAATATGAGAAAGTTGAGGCGCAAGATGATGGACCTCCGCTCGTCTACGATATGGAAGTCGGTCCTCCTGTGGAAGAATCGGCCGCTATGCGTCGCACGAGAGAAGTAGCAGAGCAGCTTGGCGGGGAGCTGATGCTGGAACAATTTGAAGATGAAGCAGTTCCAGACTCGACCCCTCGCTTGCATCCCTTGACGAGCGAGGGAAAGTTCTCTACGGACCCAAGCACTGTATTTTTGCCTAAAGACACTGTAACTGGCCCGATTTCCGTCATCCTCTCCGAATTCTCGAACAGGCATATCGCAGATGTCGTTCACCGGACTTTTGGTGGCAGATTGCTACCTCACTCCACCACAACTCCACCTCCGCGCGCCCAGGTACCCCAGCTTCCGATTCCCCTCGAGGCTTCTCAACGCCACATGAGCGAGATGGAGGGAAATGCGTACATTGCAGCTTTATACCCCGGCATGTATGCGTCTGCCCTGAGTGTTCTCGTCGAGGTTCGAAAGCGATTGGGCACAGATTGGATACGTCAGCTGATTGCACAGGAGGGTGGTCCCAATGTCCTGGACGCCGGTGCTGGTGGTGCCGGAATTCTGGCTTGGAGGGACGTCCTTCGTGCAGAATGGGAGGCCATGGTCCCAGGTCATCCCGAAACAGATCCTATCCCATTGGGTAGATCAACGGTAGTCACAGCCTCAGAAGCGCTCCGCATGCGCGCGAGTATAATGCTTGAAAACACAACTTTCCTTCCACGCTTGCCCGACTATGTTCATATTCGTGAGAAACCAACTCTTGATGACGAGCGGGCTCCCCCCAAGCGCAAACAATTCGATGTCATAATAGCCCCACATACTCTGCTTGGCCTGGAGGAAGAGTATATGCGGAAAGAACATGTCGAAAACCTTTGGTCTCTTCTGAATCCTAACGGCGGAGTCTTGATCCTTCTGGAGAAGGGTCACCAGAAGGGATTTGAGGCGATAGCCGGCGCTCGTGAGATGTTGCTGAAACGCTACATTTCAAGTCCCGGGTCTACACAATACGAAGGGCTTACCGAGTCTTTTAACGAGAACCAGCATGTTGACAAAGAGGAAGGCATGATTATTGCCCCTTGCACAAACCACGCAAAATGCCCCATGTATGCCGTTGCTGGCCATGCCAAGGGACGCAGAGACTTCTGCCATTTTGAGCAGAGATATATTAGGCCCGCTTTCCTTCAACGAATCCTAGGCGCCAAGGATCGGAACCATGAGGATGTCAAATTTAGTTACATAGCAGTTCAACGTGGTGTGGATCTACGCAAGGAGAAGAACATCGTCCAAGGTCCTGAGGCCGCTGAAGCAGCCTTTGCTGGATATGAGCACCTTCGCAATATGAATTCGGAAGACGCCGAAGTTCCAGATGACGCTGTGACTAGCGAGCCCTCGGCTGCCCAAAACGGCCAAGACTTCCATACATTGTCACTCCCTCGCGCCATCTACACCCCAATGAAACGCCGTGGGCACGTCATCTTTGATTTTTGCACACCAGCAGGAAAGATTGAACGCTGGACCGTTCCTCGTTCCTACAGTAAGCAAGCTTACAGGGATGCACGCAAAGCCCACTGGGGAGATTTGTGGGCTCTTGGTGCGAAGACCCGCATTCCACGGAGCTTGAGACTCGGTGAAAAGCATGGCGAGGGCAAGAAAGAACGATTGGCGAAGCGAGCTGCTTCGAAAGCCGCTCTAGGTGAAGCTGAAGATGGTCCTCTGGAACATACCTCGTCCGATGGCTGGGATGAATTAGCAAACCCTGTGAGAAAGAAGGGTCAAACGATTCCCAGCTGGAAGAAGCATCAGGACAAGAAGAAGATCAGACAGGCCTCGAAGAAGCAATCTACTGTCAAGCTGGTGGACGATGATCTTAATTGAGCCGCATGAATCATTCAACAGTGTACAATTTTTGGAGATAAAGGAATACCTAGGATTGTGGCGTATCATGGTTCATGGGTATACTACGACTTTGAAAAGTCTGGATCGGAATACTTGTGTTGCATTTGTGTGTACAATAGAACATCATTGCATAGAGCGCAGTCACAATAAAGCTCTTCACTCAGGATCGCTATTCTTAACGGCATGCAATGCTACACGGATGCAGATCTCGTGCACTCGTCACGTTGTTATGGACGGTGGCCCTCCCAGGGCAGCTAGAAGCAGCAGTTTTGCTCGGCCCCCGAAGTCATCAGCTCAAGTTGGCATAGGCGCCTGTTGGGTCGTTTGCACGTTGCTATTTCTCGCAAAGTCCGTTCGGTAGTGATCGAAAGGCATGCTACCTTGATGTTGGGCCCGCCAGACGCGCTTCTCCTTGGACAATCAGGGTGGACCCGTTTCCTTATAGGTGTTATCCCATAGTCGCAGATAGCCAGGCTTTGGCTTCATTGTCTGTTTCTAAACAGGCAATATATCCTGTAGACGTGGTGTTCGCGACAAAGTCTTTGTTCGAATCGAGGGTACATTCCCAACTCCGCTTGTGAGCTTATTGAAAAGCCATACTTTTTCTCAGTTGACGTTCACGGTGTTGACTCTGCAGCTCCAGTCGTTCAACTGTATACTTCAGCCGTTCCTTCTTCTGGACGAGTCGTCTGTATTCCGCTGCTTTTGCGACAGCGCTACTAGCTTCTTGTCTCTGTCGATCGCGCATGGCGCCGAGACCTCGACTCGAAGATTGACGGCTGTCGTTGGAGTGAAGTCGGCCCTCCTGGAGCTCGCATTTAGCTTTAAGGGCCTGTTCGCGACGGGAGAGCTTTTCGACATGGTTTGATGCTAAGGATAATAGATGTGCGATACTCGGTGTGATTTCATCCAAGAGTGACTGCTGTGCTTCGCGCAGAGTAGGTTCGGGAAGGAGTTCAAAGTGCTAGCATCCAATCCAAGCATCAGCAAATCAATGAAAATGACGGGCTTGTCATGGTTTCATGTCTCTTACCCGCGTCGACTGCAAGACCTTGCACAACCGGGGAAAGTCGCTAACAGCGGAGTCGAGGGTAGTGATAAATGAGTCGAGGGTTTGTAACGAGGATTGAAGTGAGTCAACTGAGGCTTGAAGAGATGCGGCCATGTTGGAGCATCCGCTACTATTATCTTTGTCTGGGGTGTAGATATGTTGGTGTTTGTAACAACAAGACTTCTCGCATGCTGTTCCTCTTCATTGTTTACTCGCTGCTGAGGGGTCTGCGGGTCGGTTAAAGCGGCACTCGTTCAGTGCCCACTCCGTAAAAGCGGCCGGACATCGGTCTTCCGGGTAAACCTCGTTGCTTCCGCTTCTCCTCGTCGCACCGTTCTCAAGCTCTACCAACTCTCTGAACCCTCCGCAACCAGAAGTCAACTTCAAATTGCATAATAAGCCACAATGTCTCTCCTCGGAAAGAAGTTCCCCGCCCCTGTGGGTATGTTATGAGACCCCTACTGCGATCGTGCGATGGCGATCCGAGCAAAGTAACTAACCGCTCAAATCACAGCCAAGCCTATGGCTCCTTTCTTCGCTGCCGGTATGCCATCCTGATTTCATCGCAGATATGTCGATCTCGCAGATTGAACCGGAAAGAAATGCGGTCTCGATCTTAGCCAAAGCTGGAGTGTCCCAGTCTAACGAGGATTTTGTTACAGGTGTTGTCATCCTCTACGGCGTCAACTCTCTCGCCAACGCTCTGATGAACAGTGAGGCTCCCTTTTGTACTTGCGATTAGAGTGGACGAATTCCTCTGCGGACGCGCCTCAGCCATGCATTCTGGATTCCATCACATCAACCAACAATGACTGACTTTGCTACTTTTCTAGCCGAGGAGTTCAAGAACGATCCCCGCAACCCTAACGCTAAGAACGTCAAGCACTGATTTCATTTCAAAAATATTCAATGATACCAGTATGGCGGAGGAAAGAGGACGGTCAATGGTGGCATCACTCCTGCATTGCTGTTGCACTTCGCTCTGAGTTCGCGTGCAACCAGCCTGTACCAGCATATAGAATTTACCGCATTGGGGTACTCTGATGAATAGTCAAGGTGTACAATTGCTTCCGTGATCTCATTCCCGGTCTGTGTCGCACGTACTCTTCGGTAATTGAGCCTCGCTCATGGACTATCTCGCGGCTCTCCAGAACCGGACTGGCATTGTAGGAGCGTGTAGAGGCGTACAGTCCAGCTCTCAACCACCTGGCAGGAACAAGTACAGACTACCTCTAATTGTCACTCATGGAATCGTGAAAAGCGAGATTGTCTATTGGTGGCTTATGGTTTCTGTTGCGATCACGCCCTAGTCTAAGTGGCCTGTTCAATGTTAGAGTATTCGAAAGGACTGTCGCATGCCAGATTCGTAGCATCTGATTAGACTAAAACATATGCAGTTTGATACGCAGCATAATCATATTCTTCAGAGCACAATATCTATCGGATCGATCATTTCGACCTCACATCTGGGCCATCCGGGGCTAATCCCGATCTGGAAGGCACATTTTGCCAACTCCGCCGCTCCGTTTGAACCGCTTCCCATTGCGCCAATGCTCCAAGACTTTCATTTGACAGCGAAGAGAGCTACTTCTTAACGTTCATTCCACTATTCACCATGTCACACTTCAGGTCGAAGAAGCTGGACCTCAGCGGATTTATCAATGCCCGCGTGATCCGCGATCACACGAAGCGCAAGGTCTTCGAGCAATATGAACCTGATCGGTATGGCCACCCTAGACTGCCCATGGGCCTTCGGCTAGGAAGCTTGCAAAAGACATTCAGAGCTAATCCGGCCTCTTCACATTATGTAGTCAAGCTCTCCGCTACATCATCCGCAACACTACCCTCCCTCAGCGTATCCGTGCCCAGGCTCAGCTTCAGCTCTCTCAGATGCACGCCTACACCCGGCCGACGCAGATCAAGAACAGATGTGTCGCAGGAGGAATCGCCAGGAGTGTGATACGCGATTTTAGAATTGCGAGAGTAAGTGAAGATCTTGCTTGGTGATTGTCGATGTTCTGAGCGGGTTGGCTAATTCAGATTGTTTGTCACAGTATCAATTCCGTCAGCAAGCGCTTAATGGTGAACTCCCTGGTGTGAAGAAGGCGAGCTGGTAGAGTCCTTCTACTTTGCAAGTTGTATTATGTTGGCAATTTTGGGACGGCCGGTTTGCACAAAGGCGTTTTCTCCTCCTTTCCTTTTCCGAGAAATGTACAATAAATGCGATGCTCGATTGAGAAATTTCATTCTGAACACTTGAGTCATTAAGCCTTGGTGGTAGATGGGTGAAGTTATGCCGGTATGATACACTTTAAGGTTGCTGGTGAGGCTAGGTGAATCTTTGGTCTGGTGGTATGTAAATTCACTCAAATATAATTAAGACATCTGTCTAACACATTCAGCCTGAGCTGAGCCATTATAGGGCAGTTGAACAAAAGCGAAATCAATCCATATTCACCCAAAGCAAACAACCGTCTCTCACTATTGTATTTCCTCGGATACTTGCAGCTCTCATCACCTACCACTTTCTCCAATTCAACTACCCACTACCTCTCCCACCATAGATTTCGTTCTATTCCTACATTCTCTTAGCTGGAAACTCACAGAGCTTCACTCATCACTTCTTCTTCCAGGGTAAACCTATCAAAGTTCTTGATTCTTTCTTAAATCTTTCAAGCTGCAATCTGAGAAAGCAGGCAACGCGATCCTTGATGATGTTTGTTTACCGTCGACAGGATCTGCCTCAAGACCCTGTATTCCCTGCTGACTTGGAGAAACTTGGGTAAGGGACGGCCAGACAGGGTTGAATCTTTTGCCAGTCAATTCTAATGCACATGTCGCAGGTACTTCATCAATGAAAAGGATCAGATCAGAAAGATTGCCAATCCCGAACAGGAATTCCAGTTCAAGATCAATAGAAATGACCGATGGAACGATCTACAACGTGGGGCCATGAATGGTAGGATTCACATTCTTTCTAGAACTCTTCTTCAATCCAAGGTCTCAAAACGGCTTGGTCCACTGACATAACTAGAATGCATTCGCACTATCGTCTCCTCGCGTCTGCGCAGTCTGGGACTCACTACTATCCGACTTCCTCTCTCTTCTGGTCCTAAAGATCCTCATGTTCCAATTTGGGTCTCTGCGAACCTAGCTCGCGCATCCCGCGTCGTCGTTGTCCTTGGGGAGCCCATTCAGGACCTTGGTATCTGGGCCTACCGTACTATAGGCACAGAGGGCATCAACGCAGGTTCAGCTGTGGCTTTTGCGAGAGCACTCCTTGGACAGAAATCCGAAGCAGTCTTCAGAAATGCCAATTCAAATTTTAAGGATGCAGACACTGCTCTAATTCTGGCGAATACAGGTCAGCTGATTTGGCACTGTGGTTCCGGTCGAGCAGTCACTCATCAAACCTGGCTCACCCTTCCACGGTCCTCGGCTGTCGATTCGCCGTTGACGATGACCCGTCGAAACAAAATCCCTTCGAACGAAGACTGGCAGGAACATGTTGCCTACGTTTTCGAAGAGATACTCTCAGCCCGCGGCCGCCTCGTCAGGGAGGACGCGAAGATCGACATCATTGGCTTGTCCGAGGGAGGTCTAGGAATGATTCGGTATCTCGAAGCTGAGTGTATGCTCTACCATTTACCCTTCTCGCTCTATGTCCGAGCTGTTGTAGGAAACCTGCTGACAAAAGCTCTTGGAAAGGGGATTCCTGGAGACCATACATATCCGCCATCGCATTGTCCAACCCTCTCCATCACACCCATATCGAACTTGTAGAGGAGAGCCCGGCTGTGCCATCATCGTTCACCTCTTTCGTCTCCTCGCGCTGCCGCGCTTATGTGCTCTCCGACAAACCTGTTGGCTTCCCCGTGCCAGGCTTCCAAGAACACGGCTGCAATTGCTACTCGTCTGGTGAGGCGCTGAATACAGAATGCATCATGCCGAAGGCTTGGGAAGATATGCTTGAATGGCTGGCAAAGATGTACGCGAACCCTTCTGACGGTGAAGCACATCTCGAGTTCAAGGAGTTGGACGGCGTTACTTCGGAGAGCGTTGCCGGGGATGAAGATTGAGTTGAATAATTAATATCCTTTCAATTCCGATAGGCATAGACAAGTGCGCAGTGGCTTTACCTTAGGGCTGGCAAAAAGATATCTATATTGCCTAGGAATATTCAATGATGGGAGTTGTTGACTTGTGGAGGCACCAGAGGGGTCAGGTCAGGTCGTCTCAATTAGGATGCATTGTCAAAGTGCATTTCGTACCTGGTGCTCTATGATCCAAAATCAGAGAACTCTTCCTCCCGGTCTTTTGTGCGTATTCCTCATCTCACATAGGAGGCTTGTCTGGAAAACAGCTCAAGACTCCCTCTTGCCTCCTGATCTCAAGATCCTATGATTCAGGTATTGTTGTCATCGCATCTATACAGCTGAAGTAGGCTTTAGCCATCAGTCTCATCTCAATACTCGCTCTCAGCATACAATTTCAGCAAGGCATCTCCGTTGACAAGACGTCAATTTGAAGGTCAGATAGCTGCCATTGCCAATGCGGACACCCATTTCTAGCTAACGCATCCCGCAATTTCTGTGGGGACCATACAATGACCAGATACATGTGCGTTCAGTCCAAAACTGCGATACCATCATAGCGTGGTGACCTCATCAAATGTCAAGTACCTAATCTGAGCGTGCCCAAGAAGCCAATATCAACTTATTTTCCTAAATGATAGCCTCGACATCTAATGGTTTAGCGTAGCGCATGTACGCAGGACCCTGGCACTCCCAAGCAGAAATGCGCTACGCTGGATCTGCATTTTTCAGTGAAGAAGAACCTTGAAAGCGGATTTTTCCCAGTCTTCATCAATAAATTGGATTGACTTTAGGTATTGCCTGCCTTCTCTCCATGTTTAGGAGTACGGTCAACGATTCTCATCCTGTCATACTTCATGTTTTACCTTGTTTGGCGGCTTTGGCCCACTTGCCGGCGGGTCGGTCCGGTGGATCGCTCGTTCAAATCAATTCCGAGGGCTTTTCACTTTTCTGGTATTCATCAAGACAGACGAGTTCTCAATTCTCAATGGCTGATAGGTGATCGCGTCATTCCTCGTTTGATGTGAGTGGGTAGATTGGTTTTGGAAACATGGCTCTTGCATGAGAGGATCAGTAAGCATTCCGCCAATCCACAAGAAACATGGAAGAAGACGACAGGTGCAACCTCTGAGTTAGTTCCTGAAAAGATGCCATTGCTCACTGATTGAGGAATGCTTCTTTTTGAATGAGCCGATGCCAATATGAGATTGAATCGTCGATTAATGAAAGGTATCATATAAGTATTACCATCGGACTTTCGCAGACATCTCTCAGTATGGGAGAATATATATCCCTGCACTACGAGATACATCCCTTTTAGTTTTGTTCCCTTCCGACGTCAGATCATATATTCCCAAACGTGAAATCGTTACAATGACCGATCATCCCTGGTCGCGCCGATACAGCCAGTTCTCAATCTCTTTTGAGGTAGGCTGGAGTGCCTGAAACCGGTGTTCAATCTCAAAGAGTACCAGACTGACGACTCAGTGCGGCACCAGCACTGCACCTATAGCTGTCAGTTTACAGCTCAAGCCTTCCTGCTAAGAAGGCCTTGTCCTGAAGGATTGACGTCTGTTAAACTTGACATGTCTCTCTTACCCTGGTAATTCGTTTCATTGGTGACCAGTTCCTGAAGACGAGGTATGCTAACGTTACACTGTCTATTTACAGGTCAGCTGCTGCCCTCAAGCCCTGAGCGCTGAGGCACGAGCCTCTGGATCTGGTGCCGACTGGCAGGTTTGTCTGCAGCCGCAAAAGTACCAAACAAAAGAAGACACGAAGGCTCAAAAGACGTTTCGATGTGGCTGCGATTCATTCGTTTAACAATCCGTCGACTATCCTTACACTAGCCCAGCATGAGCAAGTCCTCTGAATCATTATAGTGTGGAACCTGATGAATGGCGTATACGCGGTCAAAGTCAGACGAGGATTTGGGATTGCTTTCAGTATCCATGAGGAGGCAACACGGCAGTGATAGGGAAAGCTAGAGCGGCGCATTGATCCGAAGCAGGCACAGTCGCCTCATGTTGAATCAGATTGACAGAATTGAACGGACGTGCTGATATCACCTTGACGATCCCTGATGCAATCGGCGAAAATGATCGAATAAGCATGACAATATACTACGATTATCAAGATAGTACTCGACATGCTGCATTATAACGAGTCAGGATGGACCTTTGTTGATACACTGACTCTTGCAATCTATCCGACTTGCGGACGAAGGACGACCAGATCTCAAGTCAAACTTTACGGAGGACGCCGAAAAGAGGGGGAGAGGCCAGATTATTCGAGACCGTTGAGTCTTGCGAAGCACCCAATGATGATAAAAAGAGTAATGTCTACCACACTCATCCTGATTCTACCGTCAACTCATTTCGATCGAGTAAAAGAAAACGGCCCAGGCGTTTCGATCGAGTAAGAGGGATGAGAAATCTGCAGGGAGATGCCCGATCGAACCAGCGGAGGCGCCCGATGGAGTGCCTCGCCCGTCAGGCATCAAATGGTGGAAAGATTTGTGATTGGCCCGGAAGTTCGGCCATTGTTTCGAAGTATGAAACTTTTACACAGTCGGTATTTTACGGATCGCTTGCCACTTTGACGGTGGACTTGCATTCCGATAACCGGATGTGGTAAGCATGAGGGTATCCAGACGGTGCACACTGAACTCCGTACAATGTGTATGTTAGGCTTGTGAGTAGTATGGAGGGGCGATCGTACTTGAAAGAATAAGTATATTTCGACTGTCAGAGTTACTGGAATAAGAGCCTGAGCCAGAGACACAAGGCTCTTTGTTCAGGCGACAACCGAAGCCAGTCTTTGAAGGATAATTCCCATCGAGTAATCCAAACTGAAACGGTGGGTATTTCGGAGGATCGTGATCTCGTTTCCCCCTTCTGGCTGTGCGGATGGCCCACGTACCCTCGTGGACGGCGTTCTGGATTACTCGATCGTATCCGGGTCTTCTGGTATATAAGTGTTGAATCCTTTCTGGTCAGCCATGGTAATAATAGGAATTTCTACAGATAGGCTTTGCGTGCTTTCTTCTTTTAGTTGTCTCGACTTCCCCCGATTTTCTGCCGAGTGGCGGTTCCAGAACATTTTTCTTATCCTTATCAACTATCACGACTTCTTTATCTTCTTATCCTCCCTTATCAGCACTCAATCAACAAGCACCCGCCAATTTTCCGTAGAGGAAAGGGCAGAGTCTCTTTCTCTCTCACTACTCCGTTCCTCTCCTCTCCTCTCCTCAGTCACTCCATCATTCTTTCTCCATATATCCCTTTCCTCTATACCCCTTCACCATGGAGGCTTCCTCTCAGATGCCCTCAATCTCCGTGGTGGCCTCCTCGCGCGCCGTTATCTCCGGCCGTTTGACATCGGCCACCATTGTTATCTCCCGTGCCACTGGCAAGATCACTGCAGTCTTTGACTCGGTCATCCCTGCTTCTGACTTCCCCACGGGGACTCCATATACCGACTATTCCCCTCATGTCCTCTTACCTGGTTTGGTCGATGCACATGTGCACCTCAATGAGCCTGGCCGGACAGAGTGGGAGGGCTTCTACACTGGGACCCAGGCCGCCGCCTTTGGTGGTGTCACCACCGTGATTGATATGCCGTTGAATGCCATTCCTCCAACCACAACCGTCGCCGGCCTGAAGGAAAAGATTCAGGCCGCCGAGGGCAAGTGCTGGGTGGATGTTGGCTTCTATGGCGGTATCATCCCCGGCAATACTGGCGAGCTTAAGGCCCTGGTCCAGCAGGGTGTGCGCGGTTTCAAGGGTTTCCTTATCGACAGCGGTGTATGTATCTGTCTCCTCTTGCGTTCTTCACTGCACACTGACCGTGTCATTCTTTGACAGGTGGAAGAGTTCCCCGCCGTCTCGTCCGAGGATATCAAATTGGCTATGACGGAGTTGGCCGATGAACCAACAACCCTCATGTTCCACGCAGAGATGTTACCCCCCATCGCGGCCTCGGTTGGAGACGCGGTCAGTACTTCCGACCCCCCTGCCGCCCCAGCAGGTCCCGTGGAAGCTTACTCCACTTTCCTTGCCTCCCGCCCCTCAGTCTTCGAGACTTGCGCCGTGCAGGAGATCCTGTCACTGGCTCACTTGGCTCCCAACCTCCCCCTGCACATTGTCCACCTATCGGCTATGGAGGTGATTCCTCTCTTGCGCCAAGCCCGCGCCGATGGTGTCAAGATCACAGCCGAAACATGCTTCCACTATCTGTCCCTCGCTGCTGAAGAGATTCGCGATGGTGACACGCGCCACAAGTGCTGCCCTCCCATCCGCTCAAAGGTGAATCAGGACAACCTCTGGGCCGAACTCGAACGCCATGCCGAGGACGGAGTCATCAAGACCGTAGTGTCGGACCACTCTCCCTGCACACCGGACCTGAAACTCCTGCCATCCCATATTCCCGGTCACTATGCCGCAAATGGCGAGGTCGAAAACCCCGGCAGCTTCTTCTCCGCCTGGGGTGGAATCTCCTCCGTCGGTCTCGGACTCCCTATCATGTGGACCGAGCTCAGCCGTCGCAAGGGCCTGACTTCCGCCCCGGATGACGCCAACACCAAGCGTGCCCTTCAGGACATTGTCCGGTTGTGCTGTGCCAACACCGCAGCGCAGGTCGGCCTGCAGAGCCAAAAGGGGGACCTCGTTCCGGGCTTCGACGCTGATATCTGTGTCTTTGACGACGCCGCCAAATGGGTCGTTGAGCCCAGCACCATGCTCTTCCGCAACAAGTGCTCCCCATACCAGGGCCGTACCCTTCGAGGCATGGTCCGCGAAACTTGGGTGCGAGGCCAAAAGGTCTTCAGCCGAGACGATGGTTTCGTCGCAAAGACCCCAACCGGTCACCTTCTGCTCGAGAAGCGGGTTTGATTCTTTTTATTTTCCCTGATACCAATGTCCCCGATCGAGACTGTTGACAGTCTGCCAGTCTGAACAAAAACGATTTTTCCCAACCTGTTGACGTGATGAAACGATGCACGACGCGCCGCGTCATTGATGACCATTAATTATAATGACCTGAGCAGCAGCATGTCCGCTGATTCTGATACCACAAGCGCCGCTGTAGATTTGAGGTTAGATTTTGATAGACGAATACCATGCATTGATTCATGACTCTGTTTGTCATTTCAGCTCTGGTGCCCCCAGAGATTTGAAACATTCTGACGAGTAACGCCAGTTCTGTGATTTGCCTCGATTGTCAACGTAGCACGAAATCGTAACTTACAGTAATCCCCCATTATCATGTTTCCTCTCCTTCTCCTCCCATTTCTCCCTCACCCTCCGCCGCACGCCTCCATTCGCACCCCTCCCCCATATCGTCTCCTGCTCTCCATCAATTCTCTGGATTTCCTCCTCATCCTTCTTCCCGGTTCGACCCCCGACCTCATCACTCTCCACCACCTCCTTCCGCTCCCTGATGCGCCTCTCACGCGCCCGCGCCTTGTCAATCTTTTGGAGATAAATCGCATAGATCAACACCTCCGCCACACCCACCATCAGCGCGGCGAACAGGGACACCAGAACCCGCACCGGCTCCGACGCGCCCCCACTCACCCTAGTCACGCTCGCTTTGCTGGGTGGCTGCCCCCGCCACAATGAGGATACAGAGTTCACCAGGATATCAGGGGTATGGAAGCTCGTCAGCGCCCAGTACACGCTGAACCCGGTGATGAGCACCGAGAGGAAAATGTTCAGTACCAGCGAAGGGGTGAGCGGGTCTGCGGACTCCGTATCTCCGGCGTGTGCTTTGGAATCGTGGAGGGCGGAGAGAGTCGGAGTGGAGGAGGAGAAGATCGGTGAGGGCCCGCTGTGCCCTGGTGCGGAGGATGTGAATGTTATGGCTGTCATGCGGTTGTAGGCGTCTGCTTCGGCGGCGGCGAGGAGGCGGGCCTTTAGGGCGAGGTACTCGGGACTCTGGCGATCATATTGGTTAACACTTGGTGTAGGGCGAGGGAGAGATGGGTAGAACGTACAGGCTCGGGTTTCTTAGGCGGAGGAGGGATGTAGACTTTTGTGCCGCGGAGGAGCGCGTTGAGGCTTCTGTCCGGTTTAGGGTCGGGACTGGTGCTGTTCGCTCCATTGCGGAAGTAGTGTGATAGACGGATCACTTGCTCGTGCGAAATTGGGGAGTTGATACTCAGAGAGTCGGGGAGGTCCAGCTCCTTGCGAGAAGAGGGTGGGATGGCCTCGAGTGCGGAGATGATATGAGTGGTGGTGACGAGGAGGACCATGGTGTTTGTGGTGGGTGGTTGGATGTCGACACGATAGATGGGAGTTTCAGGCCATGTTTCATAGACTGTTAGTTATGAACACCAGTACATCGTTGTAGTTGATGGAAACTTGGCCGGGCGTAAATGACGATGATGGAACCTTGCCCGATTAGGCAACTGAGCTCCCCCACATCCATCACCTCCAATCAATAATATCACCGGCTTCATCGCCTGCCATCCTCAGACCGGCCCTCTTTCGCCATATCCCTCTCTACACAGATAATATCTTAACTCTGGGGCTCGGACTTTGTCTGCCGTCACTCAACTCCACAATGGCAGACAAGAAATCCAGGTAAGTTGGGACACGACGGAGAAGAAAAAAAAAGTTCACCTCCTCACATACCCCTCCAGTCCAATCCACCAACCCTCCAGAACTGACAACGCTCCAAATCCAGCACCGTAACAACACAAACAAACCCGCGCGGTATCCCCGTCGCCCCCTTCATCGACAATGTCAGCGACTATGTCGCCTCGCGCGCAGACGTGGAACCCACCCTACAGCGCTTCCAGGAGATGATCTCCAAATACCAATTCATGGAGCTCAACACCCAGCGCCGAGCGGCGGGACTCCGAGAGAAGATCCCCGACATCAAGAAGACATTAGACGTGGTGCGGTTCCTGAAGATGCAGAAAGAAGTAGGTCACCGAGTCACCGACTAATACCACTTTGCAGTAATTCCATGCTGAAGACGGGTAATGGCAGGCAAATTCCTCCTCAACCCTCGAAACCAGCTTCGAGTTAAACGATACCCTCTACGCGCGCGCGCAAATCTCCCCCGCCGACACGGACGAAGTATACCTCTGGCTCGGGGCGAACGTCATGCTCGCGTACCCCATCGCCGAGGCCGAGACGATGCTCTCGGAGAAGCTCTCTGCGGCAGAGCAGAGTCTAGCAAACTGTGACGAGGATTTGGAGTTTCTGAGGGAGCAGATTACTGTGCGTACAGGAGTACTGTTTCTTTTCCTGTTGAGTTTCGACTGACCTTTGAAATAGACGATCGAAGTCGCTACCGCTCGTGTCTATAACTGGGACGTTGTACAGCGGCGGAAAGAAAAGGCTGAAGGCAAGGGGGATGACGATGAAGAACCGACCGACAAGCGCAAGCCAGGTGGCTAAGTGTTTTAAGTCAGAAATGCATTTCCTCAATTCATGCCTTGACGAGCGCCTTGTAGACCACTCATATCCGACGAGGAGACACTCGCCTTTTCTCCTCCGTATTCTATGATGACCGACCTTTCGGGATTGGATTGCTGAAGCGGTATCTTCTTCATTAGTACATCCAAAAGCCTAATGGTCATGGTCATCGGGCAACCACCACCAGTGGGGTAGAATCATGTGGCCCATCAGCCATGCTACACTGAATTGGGAATATAAATGGACTTCATTGTTCGCCGGCCATGCTATTCCCGCAAGATTCCATTCATTCTATTATTAATAACCGCTAATCAAGCGACGTAAAAGCTTCACTTCTTCTAATCACCAGTATGAAGTAGACTCATCCGGAAGGAAGGAGTCGGTTCAAAATGAAATTGTAGCATCATATATCATGCACCAACCAGAAAATAACAGTCATGACTCTCGAACTTGGAGATACAGTAAGATAGTGGAATGGGGCACACAGATGATCATGGCTGGTCAAAACGCCAACACCATGGCATCAAAGAAGCAAACCTCATACTCTATGCAGAATGCAAACTGAACCAAGAACGAGAGTTGGAGTGCCGTCTAAACACAACTCCCAAACCAAATCATTAAATAACGTAGTGGATCGCAAATAATAGAAAGAGAATGTCATCAAATCGTAAAATATGCTGGCAATGTGGATGTCGCAAGACAGCAACACCCCTGGCTCAGCCGTGTTTAGCGACCGCTCAATTTCCTTCCAAGTCCAGAATCTCCGGGAATAGAATTGGCAAGCAATCGATCGGGTAGCATATCAGCGTCGGAAATCGCCCTATCTCGAAGCCTCTTGGACATCTCCATGTCAGCGTCGTCACCAACAAACGTCCACTCCACACTGTCTTCAACATCGTCATCAGCATCCTGCTCGGCCGTCGTTTTGGCAGAAGGCGTTGGCGAAAAAGGCGTGGATGAAGCAATGGAGCGCTGGCGGACCAGTGTTTTGGCGTACTCAAGGTCGCGGTAAATAGCCTTGATAGCAGTCTCTACTCCATCCTCCTGTGACCGATTGTTAGCATATCTGTTATCACGAGCGCTTTATCGCAAGAACGTTACTTACACTACGGATCCTTGCGCCTAGATCCCGGGCTCTAATGATCAGTCGCTCGCTATGGGTGGCTTCCCATAGTGCGCGCGAGAAAACGCTCACGTTAAGCTTCTTCATGCAAATCCCAACACCCAGATCTTCAACTCGCGATCCGAAGAAGAACTGATCACCGAAGAAAGGCTTGACGATCGTAGGAACGCCTGCACGCAAGCTCGCCCCGGTGGTACCCGCTCCTCCATGATGAACGGCAGCGTCGATCTGCGAGAAGAGCCAGTCATGCGGCGCAGCCTGAATCTGGAAAATCTCTGGCGGCAGAGGTACCTCCGGTTTAGCACTGGCAGGATCGCCGAGCCTATCGGACCAGCCTTTGGAGAGAATGCAGCGAACATCAGCCTTCTGGACCGACTCAATGACTGTCGTGGTGAGTGCTGAAGGATCAGATACAACTATTGATCCGAATCCGATATAAACTATCTTTTTACCATCTTCGCGGGCACGTTGAATGAATTCGGACAAGCCGGCAGGAGGAGTCCAGTCGCTTCCCTCGTTAAGAAACCAGTATCCGGTAATGCGAATCCAGTCGGGGTAGTCCAACGGTGGCGGTACCACCGAGGGAGAGTAGTTATAGAGAAATGGGACTTTGTTCGGTTGCATCTTGTCCAGAGTAGTCGCCTTTAGGCCGAGCTCGTTTTTCCGCCATCTATTCACCTGCCCGGCAATGGCCTTCCAAAAGACGTTGTCAAACATCACGTAGGTTATATAGTTGTACGCACCTCCCATTTTGTGTTCAGGCACAGCAAAGGCGTGTGGATAAGCTCTTGTCCGTGACCACGGCATTGTGAAAGCGCGAAAGTAAGGAATTCTCAGCGCTTCGGCGATGTGTATGCCCGCCATTGCACTGGGTGATTCAATGAGAAGATCGCTATCCTGGCAGCTTGCCCATGCCGATGACAAAAGATCGTCAATCCAGCCGCGGAACTTTTGCGACGCCTCTTTGAGGAATGAATACGTGAACATCCCATTCTCAACGCAAATGCGCATGAGCTCCGCTGGGTCACCCTCCACTGGAGCAAAATCAATGCCATGTTTTCTCACCCATGGCTCGAATTCTGCGTGCGTTGCAATCTTTGGCCTATGGCCTTCTGCAAGTAGCCCTTTACATAAGGCTATGTATGGCTGCACATCGCCTCGTGAGCCAATCGTCAGACAGGTGATCCGAAGAGACTTGGCAGGTTTGAAGTTGACGATGGAGGCGCGAGGATCGTCAAAAATCGGATGTAGCCCAGAAGACTCATTCAAGGGCCGCAAGTCATTTTCGCCATAATCATCCAATCTGGCCTCTTGAAGCATGCGGTGTTCTGCCATCGCTGCTTCGGACTCATTCTTCTCCTGCTCAGCTAGCAGGCCTGACTCTGCCATAAATTTCACAGTCTCCAGATGTTGATGAAGCGTAACAGCGCAATCATCTCGAGCATCAGACGTACGAAATTCGAAGAATAACTCCTCATGTCCGCGGATAATAATAACAAGACCGTGATAGCCGAACCTGAAGCCTTTCTCCTTTTCCACGTTCTCAATATCTCTCAAAGGAAGAATCATTTTTGTACGAGTCCCAGGAATGAGACTGCGGAAACACAGCTTCTTCTGACTGACGTATATCTTGCCATAGAGTGGAAGTACCCGATGCAAGTATGCAAAGTATGTCGCTTGTAGCTTCTCCGTCGGCGGTAGTGCAAAATGCGCACGGAAACGGTCGCCATAGTTGCAGCCATCTTCCTTGTCTTCAGGATCAACAGCTTGATCGTCTGGCAAGACATCTTCTGCCTCGCCATAATGTTTTCGACCGCCAGTCCACATTCCCGAAACTTTCTCTATGTAGCCCATAGATTCACTGGCCAGAAGGTTACTCATTTGCTTTGACCGGGTCCTCAAGTACTCGGCAAGACCTGCCGCACGCTGGAGAGGATATACTCCGGCTTTGACAAGCTCGTTCAGAGAAGGTGCAGCCGAGAAGGATTTAGTCGGATCTTGCGTGTCTTGGTCAGATTCACCGGTGGAAGCCTGAGCCTCACGTCCACTTGTATAGCCATCCGTCCGTATGCCAAGCTCATCGGTCTGTTGAACGGTACCAACATTGGCACGCGTGGATAGTGATCGAGCCGTTTCGTCAGAATTGCGTCGCCCTCTTCTTTCTGCGCCAGAAGGCCTTCTGTCCAGATTATGAATGGTAGGAGATTGAAAGACATCGCTGCGATTCAAGATCTGGCTCGCTGATTCTGCCGCATCCGTCATCGATTGCCAGGCAGCTGAAGACTCAGTTCCTTGCTCGAAAGAATTCAATATCGAATCTGACGAGTCCTGAGGTCGGGTCGCCGGCGATGAATTTATAACATCGTGCGCCAGACTCAAATAGCTTGTGCTTGCACTCCTTTTCCGCTGCGTCTCAGCTCTGCCGTTACCTAGAATTCGACTCGTCCCGCTGGTCAACGACCACCTGTTTCGAGATTTGCGGGTACGATCAGACCGAGGCGAACGGTCCGGTTGCGGTGAGAGGGTTTGAGAAGAATGTCTCAAAGATTGATCATTAATGAGGCTTCTGAGAAAATTGAAAGCGTCGCGGCCGGAGTCGAAGAATGAGAAGAAATACTGCAAACCATGAGTCTTGTGCAGAATGATGGTAATCGAGAGACATACCTCATCAATCGCGTACGAATCATCATCCTCAATCACGCGTATCTTAAACGTCTCGGCGAAATCTACCATGGGACTTTCCTCTATGTCTATAATGCTTTCGATCGGAAAAGATATCTTGACGCTTTCGCCCTCGTTGTGTGTCCGAAAAATCACTTTTTGCAGGGCTTTCACCCATTCTTTCGCACTCGTGGAGCTATCAGCTCTAAAATAGTACGTTCTCTGGTCCGTGGTGACCTGAAAGTCTCTAGGTTCCCTCCCTTTCTCTTTCGGTTCGGCCAGCGAGGCAGAAATCCCATATCGAAGATCGACATGACCACTCGGAAAGTAGAGATTTGACGGGTCGGCATAGTAGGAAAGAACATCACCCTTCAGAGAAAACCAGTAGCGGCTGTACTTCGGGTTTTTTCGACCACGTTTGTGAAGATACCCAGACTTAATAGCCACTGTAGATTTCTTGGGGAGATAGGCGTAGAAGCAGATATGACCCTCGGTGACGTACATGTACCCCTGTAAGAGCATGCTCTGAAGAAGTGAGCAGGCATATTCAACAAGCACTTTTTCTGGTTTGTCGAAGCCGAACATATCCATCAACCTTGTAGAAAGGGGGGACACGGATGCCTCGCGAGGGCCCTTGTCGCTACTTTCCTCAGAAGAAGATTGATAACGTTCGGCAGACGAAGCTTTCAAACCAAATTGGGCTTGAGCTTCGACCATACGGCTCAGGATAGGAGCTGCTCGAGGAGTGGCACTACGCGGTCGTGTAGGGAGTGAAACGCAGAGCGTTTCATCGCCCGTTGAAGGATCAGTCTGTGACTCTTGCTTTGAGCTTGACTTGAAGGGCCGAAATAATTTATGGTCCGATATTGTCCTGCGATGGCGACGGCCTCTTGTACCCGACTCCTTCTCTGCTTTCTCATCGGTCCGCGAACTGGATCTTTGGCCCAAACTCAGGGAGTGCGCATTTGCCGAGGCAGACGTTCCTTTCCTGACAGAAGACTCTTTCCTTGCCCGCTCCTCTGTTTCTCCATCACTGTCACTTGATTCGTCAAATCGCGCATGAAAGTCGGACCTGGAGCCAACAGCGGCAATCATCCCGAATATGGATTGTTGCATGTATTGGAGATGGCCCTCGCGAGAGCCAGATCCTCCGGGTGGTGCAGTAAAGTCGACCTGGGCATCGTGGTTGTCTTTCAGTCTGTCTGGCAAAGCACTGGAAAGAAGACGGCTCGTGGACAGGGACTGCCTGCTTGCACTGAGCCTGCGGTCCACCCGTCGCTTCGCATCGTCCAGAAATGGTCGCATTCTCAACGTAGGTCAGGACCTAAGTGATGTTCCGAGACCAGAAGAACGTAAAGAGATGCAGCAGTAGATCGCAGCCGCAGCTTGAAGGCGGGAGCGACAAGGTTATGATGGCTGCGGTTGAAGGAGTGCGTTGTCCACGAATTGGGTCGGAGGCAACAAGTCAGATGTCACAACCAGGACTTTGGGTAAACCTAGGTAGTGTTACAATGGGCAGATGATCATATCAATCAGTTCAGTAGTCCACAACAAGCAGCATGCCCTATAATTGATGAAAAAAAATGGAATGAAAGAGAACGAGATAAATGAATGCTCACTGTCTCTATAGTACTCCAGACTGATAAGCGCCTCCGAAGGCTGTTATCAAAGCACCAAAACGCTTGAGGAGGGAGTCATTAGGGCGACAGAAGGGAAGGGCTCTGAGTCATGCTGAAGAGAAAGACTAAGGCATGAGCCTTCAGATCAAGATCCAAGAAGCGAAAGAGTTCCAGTAAATGAACAACGTGCAGTGATGCTAAGCAAGTACTTACAGAGGAGGAACAAGCCCAACGCCCTAGTTTCACCTCTGGCGTCACTTGTCTGTATCAGCTGTTCATCAGTCCCAGGCCACACCAATCACAGAAAATGCATGTGATTGAGGCATGTCATTCATCCAATGAGAAGTGGTTTACAATTGCTCAACTGGCTTATGTCATCGACCTCTTCAAGCTGCCTGTAATTTACATTACCGTCGCCTATCTGAGGTGGACTGTGACATGAAAATAGTAGGGTAGTGAGATGATCAAGCAATATTCCATGTATCTAAGTTGTGTCATATGATATCTGATTGATTTTTCTGTGCTAAGTATCTCGCCGCTGATCAAGTATCTTTGGATCTAGTACAGGCACGAGGCTGATTGCTGGTATCAGTGGCTGTGCAGTGGGCTCAATTTGGCTTGGGAACCTGCAGTAACGGAGTGTGGTCAAGAACATCACCATCTTGTGGGTGTCTTCAATGCTGGATTTAGAAACTCTGATTAGCTAGCGCATCCCTCATGAGGGCATCGGCGACTGGCGTGTTTACCCAGCATGTAGAGCATGCTGAGCCCGTCGAACAAGTCTGTCAAGCACCTTGTGCCCTCATCAGATTTCAACGTAAGGGAGCAGTGAGCCAAGATACGAAGTAGTACTAAATTCCGGGTTGAGCGTCCAGAACTTGATCCTTGGTCCAAAGATGCTTTTTAAGAGAAATCGAAAGACCAGAAGTGCAGGCATCATTGGCCATGATGCACAATCCCCGTCAACTGGACAACTTTTTTCGCCTATGAACAACATTGAAATACAGTTCTCATTCCGCCATGTATTAGGACTTCTCCTTCTTCCGTTTCTTCTCATCTCGCTTTTTGCTTGATTTCTTGGACTTATCCTGTCCGGCTTTCTCATCAATCTCCATCTGTGGTGCATCGACCGATTGTTTCTTGGACTTCTTCCGGGGCAAGCTACCCGACCGGTTTCCTTCCACTTCTTCGGGGTGGTGCTTCCGCTTTCTTTCCTCCCGATCGGTCTTCGATTCCTTGGGAAACTTGAAAGTTGGCTTTCCCTCTCCCTCGGACTCTTCCGAACTCGAACCGATTGTCTCCGGTGGACCCTCTCCACTACCAACCGGGCGAAACCGCATCTTCAGATGTTTCGGTTGCTTCCTTGGCGGCTTGATCTGACCCTGCGCTGCTGCCAATACTGCATCGTCGGTCTCTAGGCTTTTAGGGAGGTCGATCACTTCTTGTACATGATACGTAGGAATGGTAGCGCCAGGTGTGCTGTAGTATGTCTGTGTCTTCGAATCGTATAGAAGGAGACTCTTCCCACCCAAGTCGCCCTGGCTAATGTTCTCGGGTGGGATACCATATTGCACGCCCTCGTGCTTCAGCACCGGCTCGCCTTGTAGGATCTTCGCCAGCGACACCTCTTTGACTTTTGAGAGAGGGAGGAAGGCGGGTGCAGTGATGTGGAAGATTTGTTTGCCGCGAAGGTCGGAAAGGAGGGAGGATGTGGTGGAAGATGGCGGTAATTGCTTCTTCGCAGCTTTGAAGCCCGATGGTGGCTTGTAGGGAGGTCTTGGGTAGAGGGAGTCGTTTGAAGATGAGCTAGGGCTCGTGAGCTTGACAGTCTTCCGAGAACGATGTAAGCGATAGAACCTACACATTGGAAGCCTTGATCTTCTTCTCTGTGGACGAAGGAACACTTTCAGAATCGGAGCTGGCCGAATCTTCCGACTCAGAACCTGAGCTTGACGAGTCTTCAGTCTCGCGATCCGATTCCGACTTCTTCATTGGTTCGGGCGATGTCGATCTGCTGCTCGAACTACTTTCGCTGTCCGAGGCAGACTTCTTAATTGACTTGGCTGGCGCCATTGTGCTTCGATAGAGCCGTATGTCGAGGGAAAGCGTTGGAGATTTCAATGCGGATTGTTCGGCACTTGCAGCCTCGGTCAGCTGGCTGCGCTCAAGGTATGTTTGCAAAAGGCCAACAAATCAGTATAATTCTAACCCTAACCGGGGCATATAGGTATAAATAGTTAAAGATCTGGTGCAGAGTTGACTCCGCAAGTCGTGAGGTTATTCCGCCTCGAAATCTGGTGAGCGACAACTTTTTTTTCCTCCTCCGCGGAGCACAGACCACCCTCTAAAGTCCGCAATCCGCGATGATATGAGTTTTTTGAGGTCCCGCCTTTTCATTGAATACATACTTTTGTTTTCATAATCCTGAGTCAATTGTCCTCCACATTCGTATCTCATGAAAAGAAAAGCTGAGAAGCAGCAGGCGACTGGTACAGACTCAATTCCCTCCGCGCTCTTGCCTCACTCTCAAGCAGATAGCTTACTGAAATATTGTCTTAGCTCCGGTCAGCGCTTTTGCGGCGCGCAAAGCTCGGCAACAGCAAGTGCAGATCGTAGCGCCAGAGAAGACCGCACAGAATGAACCGGCCGTCGAACCGCCATCCAAAAGAGCGCGGCGGTCACTTGAGGAGGGGGCCGCGAGCCAGGCCGCTAACGGAAACGATCGCATACAGACAAGGCGCTCTACGAGGAGGAAGGAAGAGACCTTGAGCTCTGTTGGGTTTGCTGAAAAGCAGCCTCAAAGGTCTGCTGTTGCTGCGAGAGCGCAAATAACAGAACGGGCACCAGCTCTGGAGAAGGAAGATGCTGAGCCCTCCGATGCCGCCGAGGAAGAGGCGGAGGATATACTGGACGAAGAAAATGGCGTGGGAGTCATTCCTGTGGAGGATGATGCTGAAGGGTGAGTTTAGGAACGTTGTTTTAGAAGAGCACATGCACTAACTCTCTACAGCTATGAATCTCCGGCCGATGACGTCCCGCAAGTCCAGGATTTTCCACTCTCAAAGACACGCTTGAACAAGAGCAATATCGTATATAGTGATGAGCATACACTCTGTGTTCGTATTAAAGAGAAGATGGTATGAAACGGCATGAGGCATGTATACGTGCTGTACTAATTGAGAAATAGAACCTCGTTTTGTTGGGACATTACGACCTTTGGGTCAAGCGAGGTGTGATTAGCCTGATGGGCGCAAAGCTGCATCCGTCGACAAGGCTCTACAGGGTTTACGCGCCGTCTACGCACTCGTTGCCCGTCATTAAGTGCGTGGCTGGGGTTGATGGCGAGGCCGAGATCGAAGTCAAGTCATGTAACAGTGGCATCTATCGACTCAGGCACTTATCGACATTGTATCAGCGGATATGGAATGGGAAGAACACAGCAGCGGACAAGATGATGTTGAAGAAAGCTTCTGCGTCAACCAAGAGAACTTTCTCGGTGGTAGGTCTTTTTCCTTTAATTCATGCGTCTATCAGCCGCCTAACTTATGATAGTTATATACTTCATCCGACGACTCCTGGAAACGTCATCTGAGGCCACTACATCTTGAAAAGCAATGGAGCTCCGCGATCAGATCGCTCTCGCAGCGAGGTGGACGGTTGAGAGTGCTGATCTGTGGTCCCAAAGCCTCAGGGAAATCGACATTCAGCCGCTACCTCTTGAACCATCTTCTAAGTCCAGCGCCGCAAACCGAAAATAATTACCGGAATACTGACGGGGTCGCTTTTCTGGACCTCGATCCTGGACAGCCGGAATTCTCTCCCATGGGACAGGTTTATCTTGCACACCTTCGCTCTCCATTCTTTGGCCCGCCATTCACCCATCCATCGTTGGCTGAATCCCAGGACGGTTCGATCGTCCGGGCCCATCACATCGGAGCTACATCTCCGAAGGAAGACCCTGACCACTACGTGCTGGCAGCGATGGATCTTATGGACCGCTATCGATCCCTACTGGCAAGCTACCCTCAATGTCCACTCATTATCAACTACCCCGGATGGATCTTTGGACTCGGTCTGGAGGTCGCGACATGGCTAGTGAAATCCTTAGGTTTGTCGGATGTCGTCTACATGAGCGAGAAAGGTCCGGCCGAGGTCGTGGAGCCCCTTGGCCAGGCAGCGCATGAAGCTAGGGTTCCTCTGACCACGCTGCCATCTCAGCCCACCGATTTCGTCAGCAGATCAAGCGCTCAATTACGCTCGATGCAAGTACAATCCTACTTCCATATGTCGCGCCCAAGCGAGATTCATAACCCACAATGGCTGGCCACAACCGTGTCCCGAACTCGACCTTTCATTGTCGATTACGCCGGGCCTCGGCAAGGCATTCGTGGAATCATGGTGATGGGCCCTCAGACTAGCCCTGACCTTCTTCACGAGGTCCTGGATGGAGCGCTCGTTGGCGTTGTTGCCATCGAGTCTCCCAATGCAATCGTAGGCCAGGCCGATACAGCCGGATTCTCGGGTACCTCTGCAAGGGACGCGATTGAGAATGGAACGCAAGGCAATGAAGATATGTCAGATGCCGCTTCAGACGTCGACATGAACGACGTTACGGATGCTTCCCAAGCCGACGCCGCGCTTACATCCTCGACCTCCCCCTCCATTGAATCAATGATAACACGTACC